GTCGCGACCACCAGCAACTTATAAATAGTTACGGTGCACTCCCGTGACTTCACGTTACGGGAGACAGGTCGGGAACGGCTTGTATACCGAGCGCTGACTCGTGTGCAGTGCATGCGTGGAGGAGGGACGGGAAATACCGCATGTGCGAAATACGCAGACTGGGTATACAACCGTTGCACAACTAGAAAATGAAACAAATAGTTTCCCCCCCGATTGTTATTAGTTTTGAGATCGTTTTGGCCCCAAAATCGTAATCATGATCCAAATTTCGATTAATTGAGCAGCCTTAATTTTAGATGTGATTAGTCTTTTTACAGCATCGCAGGAGGCTGAATTCAAAGAGATAACAGCTTTTTTATTATTAATTCAGCTGTATTTTCAGTTAACAGTTTGTTTGGTCTATAAAATGAAAGATAACAGTAAAAAAATCTCAAATATTCACAATCACAAGTTCGAAGAGCCCAAGGTGACATTCAGATTGCTTGTCTTATTAGACCAACAGTCCAAAACCCAAAGGTATTCGGTTTGCCATCACATAAACTGTAAACAACTCAATTGAGACGCTGGAACCAGAGAATATTTATTAAACGACTGTTTGAATAATTAATGTTTTTCAGCTCTACTGTTGGCGTGTGTTGATGCCAACAAGAAACACATGGTTTCCTGTTGGCATAAAAACATCTTATAATGTTCCTCTTCACTGCCCTGCAGCAATGCCTGCGTTGTAATTGTAGGGGCTTGTTTAAAAGAAAAGCTTTTAGTTGGACTGTTGTCTGTTTTTAAAGTTTCTGAAGTGGCACCAGCTTCTTTGACTAAGGTCAGCTGGAGGGCGTACAAAGTGGAGAAAAAGGCTGTTGAGTCTGAGTTGGGGTGAGAGCGAGGTGGGCCAGGGTGGCCTCACCGCTGCGTCGGCCCACCCTCGTCACCCAGACTGAGCCCTTTCTCCACACTACTCTCTAACAAGCCTGGATTAGGGGGATTATTCACAAAAGAAAAGACTGCAAGGGAGGAAAAAGGGGGATAAAGCTACAGTAACAGTTGGCAGAATTCACTAAACACACTCTTTAGCAGTGGCAAATGGCAAGCTGAGCACACTTTGTGTTTCAAGCCAAACAACACAGAACGTAGTGACTCAAATTAGGAAAACTATCTTTGATTTAAAAACAGAAAACATTTTCAAATTGAAAACACTGCAAACTGTTTATCATACTGTCTTCTAACAACCCTCTTTCTTCTCTCCCAGGATCCTTTTGTCTACGCCGTTTGCGGTGCTGACTTATTTCCTGATCTGGTATGTGCCTCCTTTCCAACAAGGGAAGATTATCTGGTACCTGGTCTTTTACTGCCTCTTCCAGTCAATGCAGACGGTTAGTATTAGTCATGTTGACACTCCCCAGTAATTGGCTCTTTTTGTGTGCACACTAGCGTAACCGTGTGTTTGTTTACGTTTGCAGTGCTTTCATGTGCCATATTCAGCCCTCACCATGTTCATCAGCAACGACCAGAAAGAGAGGGACTCTGCCACTGCATATCGTACGTCACCGACACACAACGCCTGGTTTGATCAAATTAATTAATGTTGTCGTCCGCCCGCTGACGATCCGTTTCCGTTATTCCCAGGTATGATGGTGGAGGTGCTGGGCACAGTTCTGGGCACTGCAATCCAGGGACAGATAATAGGTGGTGGCCAAGATTGTCCCACTGATGAGCCTGATGTCATTGACAGCAGGAACTCCACCAAAATCAACACTTCCAGAGTTACACTGGATGAGACAGTGAGTCTTTTGCAGCTGTTTGACACAGTGTTTACATGAGTGTTAGTCCAAGCTAATACTGTCTTTTCTCTTCTCAGAAACAAGCCTACTTGATTGCTTCAGGGGTCATCTGCATCATCTACGTCCTCTGTGCTGTAGTCTTGTTTTTTGGTGTAAAGGAGCAAAAAGGTATGAATCCATAAACTAACAAGCGCAGTTCTTATTTGTCCAATGCCAAGGTAGAATATTTGTGATTAGAGCAGAGCTGTGGACTGGAGACTGGAGTCAAACTTGAGTCATTTAGTCCGAGGACTTTAGATTCGACCTGACAGAATCTAAAAAGATTGCAGTTCAATGCTAATGACTAATAACTTCACTTGGACTTTACTTTTTGACTTCTGTTATTAAATGATGTGCTGCAAGCGTACTCTTACTCTGAATCAATCTGACTGCAGCCAATCATGTTGTGCGAGTAGGACGGAAAGATGTGTTTGTCAGTGTGGGTCAACAAAAAACATTTATCATATGCTAAACTGTCAAAAAAGTGCGTCAAAACAATAACATACCAAGGCACATCTGACGTTTTTGCTTTAAAATGTAATAAAGCTTATTTTAAATGAATAAATACAACGTTTAAAAAGCATTGAACATTTTTTACACTATTAACCTTTTTAAAATGTCCAAATTGACATTAAATGTGGTGACGGCTGCATAATGATTTGTTTGGGACTTGATTCAGGAGTTCATAGCCAAGATGTGAGACCTATGACACTCGCAGACTTTGTCCCACCTGAATTAAAGGTTATATCAGTCTGTATCAGTTGTCCTCAGGAAACATTTGGCCTCCTTGGAAGGAAGAAAAAAAAAAAAGTCAGAAATGGTGGCTACAATCTAACAGACACATAATACAAATGAGACACATACCAGAACACAGTTTTTAGTTGTCGTGCATTAAATCCTTTCAGCAAAGATGTTCAGCTGTCTTATCTTATCCTGTCCTTCGTGGATTATAGAGAACGGGCGAAAAAGATCCCAGCTCCTCACCTTCCGTCAGGGCCTGTGGCTGGTGATGAGTCACGGACCGTACATCAAACTAGTCATCGGGTTCCTCTTCACCTCTCTGGCCTTCATGGTAATACTGTGTTTCTCTATCTGTCTCATATTGGATACAGAAGTTATTTTGTATTTATTTGATGATGTCATTATAAAGGGATAATTCAACATTTTGGGAAATAATAAATAGCAGAGAATAGATTGATAGATATCTGTCCACTAAATGAAGCTGCTGCCAGGAGATAGTTAGCTTAGCTCAGCATAAAGACTTTAAACAAAGGGAAACAGCTAGCCTAGGTCTGCCCAAGGTAACAACACAACTTGTGTATAAACAAAACTTTATATGTAACAATAGTTTGCATAATAATGACTCTTCATTTCTCTTTTATAGCTACTGGAGGGAAACTTTGCCCTTTTCATCACCTACTCTCTCGGCCATAGGAAAGACTTCCAGAATATCCTCCTGGTCATCATGGTGAGTGTTTCTAATTTCCATTGAAGGTCTCTTCACCTCCTTGTAAAAGCCCTAATCAGTATGAGATTTGGAGGACATCTGCAGCAGAAAACCCTGTTTGGCTGTCCTTGTGGCATAGAGTAAGGTCCCAGTGTTTTCAGTTTCAGTTACTCTGAGGCCTTTCCTCACGCGAGGAGACGCATGCTACCGAGGCTGAAAGGGCAGATTTTCAGGGTGAGAGGAGGTGTTGTTTGGGCTCCTGGGAACCTTTCTCCCAGCCACACACTCACATGGCGTTAGCAGGAGATCGAGGGGAGAAACAGGCACACTGGAGCTTTTGTTGCCCTGGCGATCCCTCACTGCCAACATGGGAACTGCCACCATTGGTGGCGCCCTCCTTTCCATCCTCCTCTCACCGCTTTCTGCTCTGGTGCTTTTCCCTCTGATTAGGAGTGGAAATATTTTTGGGCACCACGTAGCACAATTAGAGAAGTGGGAGTTAAGTGGGAGTTAAGGGGGAGAAAGAGAATATTTTCCACTGTATTTGCCCACACTTATTGTTATTTCTCAGGCTGAGAACTTGGTAGGCTTCTTCCTGTGTGGGCATTTAACCCCAGAGGGCAAAGGTTGTCTGCCCCCTGCAGGGGTAAATCAAAACCACACAAAGCATATTGTGGCCTTGTCCCTTAACGTCCTCCTCCAGTGGCCACTTTATTCTTTCCATTTCTTTTTTTTAGCAGAATTTTAATGAAGCCCAGTTAGAATTCTGTCTTATATTTTTGTTTAAATGTTAAAATGCATATATGGCAACAAAAATCAAGCCACTTAACAGAGTTTACAGTGGAGAGCGTTATACACACTTTTATATTTTTATTGAAATGTGTCATTCATATTTGTTTTAACTACAATAAAAAAAAAAGAAATATAAGACCATATTATAGTTACACACAGTAACATGTAGCAAAAACCTCAGTGTCCTCAATGGTAACTGCTTGCCAATACCTTTGTGATACAATAGGCAATATTTACCTTGACCCCCAAGTTTTTCTCCAGCACACAAAGTGTCTGATACATTTTTCTGCAACAGAGTACAGATAAATGTTTCTTAAATTTAGATTAATTAAAAAAAAAAAAATCCATATACCCTCAAGAATGTAATGTCTTTAATATCTTTTTTGACTATGCTAATCTGGCTCAGCTTCATCTGATTGATTAATTCCAGATGAATCAGATGTTTCTATTGTTAACCTTGACTGACATGAATGATGAATATTGATCAACCATCTATTAACTGTGTACATCCCTTGTCCTTTTGCAAGCTTGCATAATGATATGTAGAGACACTAAAATACTGATAATTCTGTGTCACTTTTTTCCAGCTATCTGGGACTCTAACCATCCCATGGTGGCAGTGGTTCCTCACCAAGTTTGGGAAGAAGATGGCTGTGTACTTTGGCATGACAGTAAGTTTGAATTAACACCAAAAACAAGCTTTTTTTTTTTTTTCAAAGAGGATGTGTTATGGAACTGCTCACATTCTTCTGTCTCTCTATAGTGGGCGATACCCTTCATGATCCTAATCGTTTGCATCAAGAGCCACCTGATCATATCGTACTTGGTCTCAGTGGCGGCAGGCGTGAGCGTGGCGGCAGCTTTCCTCCTGCCTTGGTGAGTTCGTCCGCTGAACACATCCATGGATCCATATGCTGATGTGGGTGTTGATTGTGTCTCGAGTTTCCTTCTAAGTGTGTGTGTGTGTGTGTGTTTGTGCTTTCAGGTCAATGCTTCCCGATGTAGTGGACGACTTCAAGGTTAGGAACCCAGACATCCACGGTCACGAAGCCCTCTTCTACTCCTTCTATGTGTTCTTCATCAAGTTTGCCTCTGGTGTATCCCTCGGTATCTCAACACTCAGTTTAAAGTAAGTTATCTGATCCATTCAAGTTATTCTCTTATCCTCACTGTCATCCTTAAAATTTTGTCAGTACTCACTTTACATCTGCATGTGATATCTCACACTATATATGAGATAAGCTCCACGTAACAGCTCCAGTCCAGTGGTCATGTGGTCGACAATCACATAATCCTTCACCTAACAGTCTTGCCAAACTGTACTCACATCAGCTCAACTTTTCTCCCTCTATCTGCATTTTTTCGCAGATTTGCCGGCTATGTGACCGGGTCCTGCTCACAACCCGAGTCGGTCAGTTTAACCCTGAAGGTGCTGGTGTCTCCTGTGCCTGTGGTTCTTATAGCTGTGGGACTGTTGATATTGAGAACGTACCCTATTGATGAGGACAGGAGGCAGGGCAACCGAAAACTGCTGCAGGAAATGCTGTAAGTGAAAAGTGAAACGCACCTACATGCACTGAACTCACGACAACACAGAAGTTTACACTTTATTCAGGATAAAACTAAAGGGTAGACACCCATTGTTGTGCAGCAGGACCTGTGTATGACTGCAGTAAACAAACCAGTGAGATGCTAAGCTGTGCTCTGTATACCTGAGATAAATTCAAATGAATCCTGTTTTGCTCCGGTGTTGGCTTGCATTATCTACCCTGTTTGAACAAGTCCTTTGTGTTTGACTCCTGGCTGTTCTCCCGTGCTTTAACAGGGACTCTGAAACAGATTCTGAGTCTGAAACTTCAGCGCTTGGGAGCAGCGTGTAACGGAGGAGGACGAGCCAACCACCACCACTGCATGTTTGCACAAGCTGTTGAGGGACATGACCACCAACTATCTGGACTAACAGAGGAGGGACCAAAGACCACTATTGCTGCCTAAAACTGAACAGCATGAAACGGACTCCCTTCAGTAGATCCCTCAGGTTTACGTCGCCCTCTAGTGGCCAGCCAGTGTCATCTTTTGTGCAATTGAAGTTTCTCCAGCTGTGTCCCAATAAAACTTCATCTGCTAAAACTGAAAAGCACACAGTTTACAAAACGCCAGTGTTTTATTTATTCAGGTAGTGTAGTGCCAAAGTTATTGACCGTTCTCCAACCCTTTCACCTCCCAGTATGCTGAGGTTGTCTTTCATTGTTTAGCTGAAACCACCATGGGATCGGTCCATATTTTAACCTAAATGGGTATCTACCACTAAACTGGACAGTAACCTCTTATCACCCTATAATTTAAAAGGAAGACAAAACATGTTTTTGTTCAACCACTACAGTTTGAGACTCATGGGAGCTGTAGTCATTTTTTATCTTTTATTCAACAAAGAGAATTTTTTCCAAAGATGTATTACTTTATGACTTACTGAGATGTACCTGTAGCTTTCTACCATGTCATTTACCTTGACTAGTTGTTCCTCCTCCACTTCCTTTGTGTGATGAATTGTGGGATTCTAGTGTTGAACTCTATTCTTACACTCCTCCAGTGGGAATGCACTACACTACATACTGAAAAGCTGGTTAGAATAGACTGAGATTGGGACACAGCATGTGATTTGTGATATTGTTTATGAAGTATTCATTCACTGGTTTACAAGATCGGACCTATACTCGTGCAGAGTGTGATGTTACCTTTGATGTTTACCATGTCATAGGTCAGCTGTCTGTGACTTTCCACTCAGTCGGTGCTCTGTAGGAAATCTACAGCATAGCCCTTATTTATGAAGGGCATACCAGCACTATTCCACTAATTGGAGTTGTATGGAGCTGTGCTACAATTTGTACTTTTCATTAGATGTTGTTTCCTATAGATAATTTCATGAAGGCAAAAACAAGTGTACTTGAATCTTCTGAAGGGGAAAAGGCACCTTGCAGTACTGTATGTAGTCTGAATCACTACCTTACATCTTTGTAATAAGTTGCGATGAGATTTTCTGTTGAATTTGTTATCGAGTTATTTTTCTTTTTGCTACTCAGAAGGGTTTCCCATCATACCTTTTTGTGCTTTAACATTTCAGCCAGTCTCTCATGAGGTTTAATATACATTTCTGAATGTGCTTTTACAACGAAGTCTTTTCATTGAGCATATTCTAAAAATGTTCAAAAATGCTTTATTTAATTATTTATTTAAACAAACTATTGAAGGGATTATAATTCTTCGTATGAAAGCACATGTGTATAATAACTTATTAACAGTGTATGGTTACTGACGAATATGTTAGTGATTTTGAAGTCCTACTGAAAACATTTGAGAACATCAAAATGGTGGATTTTTTTTTCTTTTTCTAAGAAAATAAAATATCAAGTTGCTATAATGTGATAAACTAGCCGCTTTTACAGTATTGTGACACAACAGCAGCACAATCAAATAGATGCCTTGATTTAACCTCAAATGACCTTATTGGTTAAAATAGTTCAAAAAAGATCTTTAAAATGTAATATATTCTGCATAGTTTTCATTTTGCTTTTGAAATTGCACTGAATGAACTGATTGAAAACACATTACAATCTCTACTTGGTGTTTATATGCTGCTGTATGTATAATATGTAAATACTTTTTTCTAAGTTGGACCTGACTTGATGAGCAGTATATAATTCAGTGAAGATATGAATTCATGTGCTGTACATTTGTAATTTTAAGTCTGAATAAAGTTTGTCAAAGCAGAGAAACCTTGTGTTATTATTGCAAAATCAACTTGTTTATATGCCAGGTTCATTTCATAGAATCACATTCAGGTAAGTTGGTACAGCATTGGTACATAAATAACAAATCTGGCCCTCCACCAAAGATATTTGGCCCCTTAATGAAATCTGATTAAAGAGAATTTAGTTTATTGGTAACTGAAACTTTGACATCATTTTACAGAAATCAACAGTAGATAATGTAAATACAAAGCTCATTTAAATACCAATAGGACCTTGTAACACTGTTTAAAGATAAATGATCAATTATATTTAGTCTTGTTTTGCAACACAGAATACATTAACTTTAATTATTCAGTCTTTGTTAATATTCACTTCCCAAAAAACTACACACCCTAAAAGAAATATGTCCTCAGATACAGTCCTAAAAAATACATTTAATTCTTTTAATTCATGTATAAAACATTAAAAGCATACAGACCTGTTTCCATTGCATCTATAAAACCACATTACCATTAAAAAATTATGTATTGTATTAATCATTTAACCTTATTTTCTTCATTCTAACATAAAAATGTATCTTTACTTTAAGTCATTTACATCAAGATTCTATGACTTGAATAAAGAACATTATTGAAAAAATCTGTAAAACTGCCACTGGTCCCTTTAAAGACTGAAATCAACTCAAGCTGAACTTCGCCTGTTTGGAAACAAGCTGCCAATTTATCTTCGACACTAATCACCTCCAGCCGTGGCTGAGCGGTGATTTTACGCGCAGATTGAAAGAGAAAGGTCGACGTACAACAGTCTGTTGCGATGAAAACAAAGTGGCATCTCTATATTTTGTGGAGTGTTTTATCACTTGGTCTCCTCAGCTGTGCACTGGACACATATGATACTCTACTTTCGAGAAGGAAAGTTTTCAAACTGGGTACGCAAAAATCCAAACCAATTAAACTGTCAGCAGGCGACAGAAAATCCTCCCAGAGGTTACCTGCCAGCACGTCTCCATTGTCTCAACTCACTTCACAAAGGCCCTACCCTGCTCTGGCACCTGTAACACCTCGATCCATGCGCCCAGGGAAGCCGCGGGCAAAGATCCAGTCGGACTTTGCTTACCTCCCAGACGTTTCTGTGACTTGCTCCACGTCCGACTTCGTCGTGCGGGTCAAACCATCTTTCTACGGTCTGGGCGCAGATGCTGAGGAGCTGAAATTAGGCAGCACCTGCAAAAGCAACGGGGTCCTCAGACCATACGGAGACCTCCTCTTCACCTATCCTCTGACAGCGTGCGAGTCCGTGCGTCAGGTAAGATTTTCAGGCGTGCCATTTGGTTACACACTCTCCCTGCATAGTATTGAAAATCACCTGACCCCTGTTTCTGACCTCTCTTGACAGTCGGCCCGCGGTTATCTGATCTACAAATACATGCTCCATTATGAGCCTTCCCCAAAGCGTTTCCCAAGCAGAGCGCACCGGATCGATGTTGATATTGAATGCCGTTATCAAAGGTTAGACTTGTCTCTTAGATATTTCCGACATCATGTATGTGTGTATATGTGTGTG